CTTAATTTTTTACCTAAACGAGGGAATTTCACAGAACATAATGCATCTTTATCTATTTAAATTTACATAGAGATTTAGTAGGTTAATTAGATTAAAATAAGTTTGGTATAACTTGAGAAAGGATATCGAATGGGACAGGAAATCTCGCTGTCACATGAATAGTAACATCTTGGAAGTATAATAATCGAAAATCCATGTTAATTGATTGTGGTGAAGTCGATGGCTTAGTACCTCATATCTTGGTTAATGTTATTTTAATTGTTATTTCTTTCTTATCATTTTTAATTCAAACTTCTTTCTTTCGATTGTTCAAATAAATTTAGATTAATTATTTTGATGCTTAATTAATCACAATCCTCATGGGTTTGACATTCTGCTTATCATTATATTATTTGGAGTGACTAGTACACTTGCTAGAATGATTTTAATGCATCATAAGTCAAATACACTTTGTGAGCAACTTTCGTGATGCAAAGATCATGGCTGGAAGATATTAATTCATGCACTATTGTTAACCTTAAAACTTTTGCCTTTTATATAGATGTAGACAAGAAGAGGTGTGAAAGTTTCGTATGGCAATCCAAAGGTGGTGAAAAGTTCTATACCAACAAAGGATCAGCCAACCAAGATGACAACAAAGGTATGCACTCTATTATTCTTTGACAACAATGAAGCATTTTTGCCAATGCTAAAGTTGTCACATTTTTCACTTAGCCATCTTTTATGATAACAGAACAAGCCTAAAGAATCACCTCCTTTTAGAGTTGATGATGTTGCCTTGATGCCAGAGAAGTCTTTGACTAAAAAAAGTGTTGAGGCTACCATTGTTGAGGAAGAAGGTATCATAGATAACAAAAATTATTATGTATAATTTGCTACCTTGTCTTCTTAAATAATAAGATCTTTGTTGGACAAAGGCTCTTGCTTACTTTTCTAAATATTGAGGATGATAAGGTTGGGATTTAAGTTGTTGGTAGCAAAGACAAAGGCAAGAAGGCTATTAAAGAAGCTAGCTCAAAATCCAGTGAAAATAATGATATGAAATTCACTGAGAGTGATGAAGCATCAAGAGGTGACCATAACTCCAGCCATAAGAGTGATGATGAAGATGGTGGCATGTTTGATGTCAAAGTTGGCATTAAAAGGTGTGCCAGAGAAAGACATGCCATACTTAGAGCAATTCCATTTCCAACAAAGGTGAGATAGATGTTGATGAACCAGCTATGAGCATAGTTGAGCAGGCCATTAGGTTTGGAAAAATCATGTCTGAGGATGAATCTTCCTTGATTCCAATGAAGTTGAGTGATATAGATGACTTCACCATAAGATTGCTAGGCTTAGTATATGAAATGAATAAAGACAAAGATGTAAATTTGAGTTGATTTGGCTTGTTGCCCACTAACAATATCCAAGCAATGATTAAGTTTGAAGTACATCCAATGCTAGAGGCCTAGGCATGCCACTTTTTAAATACTATCTCAGAGCTCACCATGCATAGTAAAAGCTAAGGAGCGATTATGATGCAAACTGTGTAATTCCATGCAAATGATCTCAACTAAGCTTCTCTTGAACCTGAATGATGTTTACCATGCCTTGATAATCATCCAGGCTTCGATTTGCTTGTTGTATGTTGTTTTCAACCCAGATCTGCTCAATAAGGCCATTTAAAGCTTCACGCATCTTCTTAGCTCTAGCTTGTGTGACTGGACCTTCTTGGGTGTGTAATGGATCACATGACGTAGTAGATATGCTGTTGTCTTGATTCCCATCATTCCTTCTCTCGTCAAAAGGATTTGTCCTCAAATTGTCACCTACATCAAAAGGAGAAAGATCAGAAACATTAAAAGTAGCACTAACATTATACTCACCAGGAAGCTCCAACTTGTATGCGTTGTCATTAATCCTCGCAATCACTTGAAATAGTCCATCGCCTCTTGGCTGCAGCTTAGAATGCCTTTGTGCAGGGAATCGCTCCTTGCGCATATGCACCCAAACCCAATCTCCAAGTTCAAATACAACTTTCTTGCGTCCTTCGTTGGGTTGTTTTGCATATTGCTCAGTTTGTCGCTCTATGTTTTGTCGCACCCTCTCATGCAGTTGCTTAACCACTTCAGCTTTCTTTTTCCCATCCAAACAAGCTTGTTCGTCAATAGGTAAAGGCAATAAATCTAAAGGAGTGAGTGGATTAAAACCATACACAACACACAACTTCAAATGGTGAACAGTTAGTTGCTGAATGGACGCTTCGATTATAAGCAAATTGAACGTGTGGCAAACACTCTTCCCAGTTCTTCAAGTTCTTCTGAATAATAGAACGCAATAATGTTGACAACATCCTATTAACCACTTATGTTTGTCCATCAGCTGAAACAAAATACCCTAAAAAGACAATCTGATTTGTGCAAAAGGAATACTTTTTAAGGTTAGCAAACAACTTTTCCTTTCTCAGAACCTCAAGTACCATTTGCAAATGCTCAATATGATCAGTTTAAACTCTTACTATATACCAGAATGTCATCAAAATAACCAACCACATGATTCATTAATTGCATGAATGTACTAGGTGCATTAGTTAATCCAAATGGCATAACTAACCACTCATATAAACCATGTTCCATTTTAAAGGCTGTTTTCCATTCATCACCTTCTTTCATCCTAATCTGATGATATCCACTCTTTAAATCAATTTTAGAGAATATGCACGAACCATGCAACTCATCTAACATGTCATCTAATCTAGGAACAGGGTGACGATACTTTACAGTGATTTTGTTGACAGCGTGACAATCAACGCGCATACGCCAAGTCCCATCCTTCTTAGGCACAAGTAGCACTGGAACTGCACATGGACTCATGCTTTCTCTCACATGCCCCTTTTTCATGAGTTCTTCGACCTGCCCTTGAAGTTCTTTCGTCTCATTGGGATTGCTTCGATATGCTGGTCGGTTCGGAATTGTTGCACTTGGAATGAAGTCAATCTGATGCTCAATTCCTCTTATTGGTGGTAAACCATTAGGGATGTCTTCTGGAAACACGTCCTTGAAGTCCTACAAAAGAGATTTAACAACACTAGGCAAAGAATCATTAAGTTCGTTAGTGTTGAAATAAGCATCTTTATACAGAAGCACAAACATAGGCTGCTTTGCAAAGAACGTAGCCTTGACATCACTTTCTTTTGCATAAACACTCACTGATTTTCTCTCATTGTTTTCAACACTCTCGATCTTTTCTCTCTTTTTTAACTCTTTCTCTGTTGTTTTCTCTTTGTTTTTCATACCCTCAAGCCACTCTCTTTTCTCAGCTTACTCTATTTTTTCAGTCTTAGTTGATCCTCATAAACTTGCCTTGGACTCAACGGCACAAGAGTAATTGTTTTCCCTTCCATGATGAACGAATAGCGATTTTTAAAGCCATCATGTGTTACTCTCCTATCATATTGCCATGGTCTCCTCAAAAGTAAATGTCCAGCATGCATGGGAACCACGTCGCACAGTACCTCATCCTTATATCGTCCAATAGAGAATGAAAACAGAACTTGCTTATTTACCTTGATTTCTCCACAATCGTTTAACCATTGCAGCTTATATGGCATTGGATGCTTCGTCATAGGTAAATTAAGCTTTTCAACTAAAACAATGCTAGCTACATTAGTACAACTACCACCATCAATAATCACACTACATACCTTGTTTTTGACATGGCACCTCGTGTGAAATATATTGTCACGTTGTACTTCATCATCTTCTTTGGCTTGCACATTCAAAGCTAGCCTGGTGACAAGCAGTTCTCCATCAACAGCATATTCCACACCATCATTAGCATCTTCTAATGGTGGCATAGATTCATCATCAGACTCAACCTCGATTTCAATTTCTCCATCTTCTCTCAAGATCATTGTGTGCTTATTAGGGCATTGCAATGCAATATGCCCTCTTCCCAAGCATTGAAAACACTTAATGTCTCGGTTTCTGCCTTGCATACTGTCAGTTTTACTCTTCTCACTGCTGCCAACGTCTTTTGACTTAGATGCTGAAGTTTTAGGCTTGAAAGTAGAATTTTCTTCCTTTTTGCTCCAATTTGGTTTCCAAGAAAATGGGGAACCTAGATTTTTCCCAGTTCTGGTGGTGGCACCTTTATGCTTGAGTTGCCTTTCTACTTTCATTGCCAATCGTTGATAGAGATCGCGGTAGTAGTGACTAGAAACAAACCGTTTTCTCATCACAGCCTTCATCTCTTCCCAAGTGTCAACAGGATGCTCTCGATTTCTACGTCGACTAAGCACAAGCTGATCCCACCACACCACAGCATAATCAGTAAATTCCACCGTTGCTAGTTTCACCTTTTTCTCCTCAAAATAGTTATGGCAATCAAACACCAATTCCACCTTCTTTTCCCACTCCAAATACACATCTGGATCATTCTTGCCTTGAAACGGAGGAATCTTCATCTTGATGCTACCTAAGTCACGATCTTGCCAATCTCCCCACCTTGTCAAATTTTGCTCTCTTTGGCCCCCTCTACTTCTCAAATTCTGTCATGCTGAAATTTGAGTTTTGGGCGTCATTGTTGAATGCATCTTTATAATCGTCATCGAAATCATCATTAGCATCATTCCTACGCAAATTCGAAGTTCCATTCTGTGTTTGGTATAACTTGGCTATCGCTGCATCTTGCTTCTCCATTTTGTCTTTAATCTCACCAAACATGATGTGCCTCTGAAATTGTTGTTGCATTGCTTTGAGCATGAAGGATTCATCCACATGGTGGCTTCTAGTGGTTGATTTGTCATCACCGCTTGACATGATTGAAACCTGCAACGAATGTTAGAAATAGAAGAATAAAAGGACCTCACAACACTCCCTTATGTGTTTCACTCCACTCTCTCATAGAATGGCATTCAACACTCATGTTTTGCACACTGTAGAACTTGGCTTTTCTCTCAAGTGTTGCTCACATCTCTTGCCTCCCTCACTCAACTTCCCTCTTTCAGTTCGTTATTGAACTAAACAAGTTCAATTCAAGTTATTTTGCAGCAATCTAACTCCAACAAATCTGCAAGAGTTAAAGGAAACCGAAAGACACAAAGGAACAACCAAGAAAAGCAATAAAAGAACCAACCCAAACAAATTAAAACGAACATATTAGTTCAAGCACTTCCTAGTAGGAATTGACTTGACTATTCCTTAATGCAGTAGGATTCCTAACTTAGGAAGGAATAAACAAAATTGTTATCTCCTTGTTTAAATAGAACTCAAAGAGAATTTCCAACTCCTTATTGGAGCCATTCGTTCTTCTTTAAGGATTTGGCCACAGATTTCTTCTCTATATAAGGAATTCCAACCACAGAATTGTGTTGCTTGTTTCTCTCTCTCCTTTTTTTTTCGTCTTTTCTTCTTTTTTTTTTTTGGCGATCATCTTCCTTTTCTTTTTTGTATGACTTTTTTCTTCTTTTTTTTTTTCATGCTTTTGTCTCTCTCTCTTTTTCTTTTTTTTTTTAAACAAGCAACACAGATTCAAAAGAGCAAAATAAGAAAAAGAAGAATGACACTGAATTTTTTCTTTTGTTTTTTTGAAGATAAAAACTGAAAATTAAAGATACGCAAACTTGATTTAGGGATCTGATGCTCTGATACCAAGATGATGAGAACCCCAAAGAGAACAATGAGACCCATAACACGACAAGGGATTTCTAAACTCCAAGAAATCTAAATCAGATTTATAATAGGACCTTCACCCGTTGTTTATGTCGCAATAAGAATCAAAGGTAAAAACCTTGACCTGTTGTCTATGACGCAACAAGAACCAGAGGTATAAAGTTGGTTGACGCTACACCCTCGAACAATTAAGAATGAGAATGATAAGTCAAGTTAGAACGCCACAAGAATAATCTTGATAAGTTCTGTAAAGTTCTGAAATGAACCAAAGAGAAAAGTCTCTCAAAATCTCAAATTCAATAGCCTTCTCCCTATTAGGGTTACAAGCCTTTTAAAATAGAGAAAACAAATCCTAATCAGAATAGGAAACTAACACCCTAAGTCCCTAATAACCACGAATTGGGCTTCAAATAAGCGAATATTCAACCCAAAAATAATACAAAAAATGTGAAAATCACTAAGAATAACCTAAAATAACACGAAATATTAGTTCGCTATAAATTGCGGCAAATTTGTGCGATTTTGACGTAAACTGTGTAATTCTGTGCAAATGACCTCAACTAAGCTTCTCTTGAACCTGAATGATGTTTATCATGCCTTGATAATCATCCAAGCTTCAATTTGCTTATTGTATGTTGTTTTCACCCTAGATCTGCTCAATAAGGCATTTAAAGCTTCACGCATCTTCTTAGCTCTAGCTCGCGTGACTGGACCTCCTTGGGTGTGTAATGGATCACATGACGTAGTAGATATGCTGTCATCTTGATTCCCATCATAATGGACATAGGATCTAGGATTAGAAAATACTAGAGTCAACAATAATGAATTATTTCTAAAGTTTATTTACCTTAACTGCTAATTGTGATAAGTCTTCCTTTTTGCAAAAAAAATTGCCAAGAGAGTATTAGGAGACTCTACATAAATCATAGATAGGGACTATATAAAGGATGAGGTTATTTGTGCTCTAAAATAAATTTACTCTTCCAAAGCCCTAAGGCTAGATGGATTGAGTGTAAGTTTCTTTAAACATTATTGGCATATCATTGGGAGAGATATTACTTAAGCGTTGCTAAAATTTTTAAATGGTAGAATCTTAGAAAAAGATGTTAATTTAACTTATATGGTGTTAATTTCCAAAGGCAAGAACCTATCGGTTAAAGTCAGTCCCACTTAATATCATATCCAAAATTAAAGTGTTTTTGTACTAAGTTGTCCTATAAAGGATAATACAATGGTGGCTTTTGAGATGGCCTATCACCTTAAAAATAAAAGGGCTAGACAAAAGGGAAAGGTGGTATTAAAATTGGATCTTTTAAGCTTTTAATAGAGTTGAAGGGTACTTTGTGGAAAGAGTAATGCATACTATGAGTTTACCTTCAAATTCGATGGATAGGGTGATGACTTGTGTTTGTACGGTGAAGTATTTAATGCTACTTAATGGCAATTTGACACATAAAATAATGCTTGCCAAGTGTGTCTGATAAGGTGATTGATTATTCCCTTTCCTTATCCTTTTATGTGATGAGGGGCCTTTCTTCTATGCTTATAAATGTAGTCCAAATGGGAAGGTTAAGGGAGGTGTCTATTTGTAAAAGTGTGATAAGGGGCCTTTCTTTTATGCTTATGAATGTAGTCTAAATGGAAAGGTTAAGGGGTTGTCAACTTGCAAAGGTGTACAAAAGCTTTCTCATTTATTTATTTATTTTGTTAAATGATAGTTTGTTATTTGGTGAAGCTATTGAACATGAAGCTATGCATTGTAGAGATCTTGAAGGGCTATATGACATGGTTTCAATGACGCAAAATTAATATAAATAAATATTCTACATTTTTCAGTTGTAATACCTCACAGCTAGCCTAAGATAGAGTTATAACAATTTTCAATATTTGGAAGATCAAATTGGAAGGTAAATATTTGCGAATGCATCTTAGCATTAGGCAACCCTCAATGATACTTTGACTCAATTCAAGATTAGTTTGGGCTGAAATTAAAGTTTAAAAGAATAAGCTACTCTTGAAGGTAAGGTGAAAGGTGCCAAATAAAGCTATAGTCCAAGATATTCTAAGGTATTTCTTGGTTTATTTTTATAATTATTCAATAGCATTATAAACAATATTTGGTGGAGAGATGATTTAGATATGAGATGAACACACTAGTTAAGATAGGACTTGGTTTGTAGGCCTAAAATTTTGGGTGGTTTGGTTTTAAGGACTTTTAAGCCTTTAGCTTAACTATACTTTCTAAATAAAGTTAGAGATTTATTCAAAACCAAAATAACCTTTGCTATGACATGCTTGGAGCCTAATGCTCTAATGAGAGAGATCTTTTAGGACCAAGTTGGGGAAAATTCCATCTATGGTTTGGAGATAGGTAATTGACAAGCATAGAGTGCTTAGATTTGGCTCATGTTGGAGAATGGGAACTTGTGAAAAGGTCCAAGTTGGCAAGGATAAATTGGTGCAAGATTTCACTAACACTTTTCCTCTAGTAATGTTGAAGGATTCATATTGGAATTTTCATGCTAGCTTCCTTACTGAAAGTCAAAGCAACAAATGGAACGAATATGTGGTGGACACAAACTTCATAAGGATGCCATTAGAACATTATAGATCCCTTTATGTAAAATATGCTCCCAAGATCAACTAATGAGGTAAGGCACTAGTAATAATTGTCTCACTATTAAGTCAACTTTCAGGTATGTTTAGACTTTATTCATACAAATAAATTTCACGATAATGATATCATGAAGCCAATTTGGAATGTTGTGTTTCATAGATGACTTGTAAGAATTAAACATTTCCTCTAGCTGATGGTGCAGGGCTAGCCATCCAATGATGCACTAGGAACTAAAGGAGTTAAAACAGATTGCTTATGTAGCATTTGTGGTATTGTTGAAGAGTAACATTGTCACACTTTCTTTCATTGTAAGTGAAGTGATGATATTTGGCAAAAGAGCTTTCTTAACATACCTTTTACAGTTGCTCGACATGATTTGTTTTATGTACAAGTTCTTGGATTTCTTTGACTCGCAACACAGAAAAAAGGGAGCTAATAGCAACCACTTTATGGTCAATATGGAACAATTAAAATAGTTTTTAATTAAGTAGGTGTGTTCTTGTTGGGATTGTACGATGAAGTCTGTTAAGCTATCTACCTAAGTATAAGAGTATTAAGGAGGAAGATAACTAGATAATGGAGAGAGATTGAGGAATGAAGACAATCCAATAATTGTATGGCAAGCCTTGCAAGATGTGGCAGGCCTCGCAATATGATTTCATCAATGTTAATTTAATATCCCAAGTTTTTTTGGGCCTTTGGAATTTATTTTGGACTTTTATAAAATAAATTAAACTTGGATGATGAAATTAAATCAATTGGGGAGGGAGGATTTAATTGTGAAGAAAATAAATTTAAGGGCAATGTGTCTAGGGCTTTAAAGTTGGGGATCAAAGAGTCACTTTTCTGAAAAAAATTTAGATATGCAGCATTATCAATATGCTACGCTAACAACCACATCATTTTCCACTCCTCTTTTGTGTGTAGACTCCCTTTCCATCTAGTAGGTGCTTTTCGTATTCTTATCTTCAATGGTGATTTCCTTTCACTATTTGGTAGGATCTAAATATGTGATCTAATAATTAAATTTTTCATGGTCAATAACTAAGTTATTACCTTCAAACAAAATAAAGTTTCCTTCATTATTGGTCATTCTTCTCTCAAAATTTTTGGAGTGATCTTCATTATTTTCTAGTAAGTATGAATATTTGAATGTAATCTAGAAATTTTGATGAAGAGTAGTGGTGACGATTGCTTAAAATTCAAAAAATAAATTTGAAATATAAGCTTTGAAAAGGTCAAAAAAGAGTTGCTACCTACCAAAATTATAGTGGGTAAGTTGTGGTTTGCAATAGATTTGAGGTAAAAAGATGCAAGTTAACCCTGATAGAAACATATTCTTAAGAAAAAAAAAGGTTATAAAAAAGAATTTAGCCTATTAAGTTTGTCATGTCCCAAAACAAGGAGCGAAACAGACGCCGTGTACTCGTGAACGGGTCCTACAAATGCGCAAGGCTCGGAACTTACTGTGTTCATAATTACCAATTTACATAACTTAAATCAAAAACTCAATTAATATCTAGCTTTCCATTACCAAAATTTACTAGTCAAGATGTACAAAAGTTTATAAGACAGTCATGGCTATAACCAAGGGAAACTCAATATACAAAAAAAAATGATTAATCATTTTACACCTATGTCAAGCATTTGTGGCTAACGGCTTAAGTCCAAAAATGATCTAAATCCAAAATACTGACTAGCCTTCTAGCTCGTCACTCCCCCTAGTTAACCGAGTCTCGGGTTTCACTTCCTGAAATAGTGGACAAGAAAAACTATGAGATAAGATATCTCAGCAAGTAAAAATATAAGTAGCCCATTAGTAAAATTTTAGCATGCTTGATAAACAATTTAACATAACAAAACGTTCAATGATAAACCGTTAATGCAGAATAAGATTCAGTAGTAGTCTCATCTATAAGTCAATAACAAAGCGTTCAATGAAAACCGTTAATACAGAATAAGATTTAGTAATAGTCTCATCTATAAGTCATCGCCAGTGTTTAACAACTCCCATTGGCATGCGTCAATTTCAGTAATAACCAACGTATTATCCCATTGGCAGGATTACAGAATGAACCGGTCCTATCGGTACACATGTCAACATGTGCTAGCGTTTGCAAACTCCCACTAGCGGGCGTCAATATTTAGTAATCATGATTATATTAGAGACAAAACCATGCAGGATTTATAGGAAAAATCCGTAATTCACAATCAATCTCAAATTTCAAGAATAAATTGAAAAATTCCATGTGGGCATGATTAACCCCAAAAATAATAAAAATTTTCATTTCCATTTTAATCATGCTTAGGTGTTAATAAAATCAATTTAAACCTTGCCATCATCTCAAAAACAATTTAAAATATGCTTTTACTTTGAAATCGAAAGGTGTTACCATAATTTATTTACCACAATCGCATAACACAGAAACTCACTCCCAGTGCTAGGGTGACAGAATAATCAAGAACCTAACCAAAATATTCCAGGATTAATAACCATACTACCACGGATCCAAAAGAAATCACCACCATGACTACCCCCTAATCATGATGCCATTTACATCAACATGTATAATTCACGTATTCCACTAGATTTTCTACTCTAAATAATTGAAATTCAGTGTATGAACAGTAACTACGCGTGAATAGTAACTACGCGTGAACAGTAACTGCAACTTCCAAAAATTTGGCAAGGAGCAGAAAATTCTAAGGAAAAATAATGCAGAAAATAGCAAGAAAAAATGCAGCAAAATGCAGAATTTTCCTGGAGAAAATACAAAATTTTTTTCTTGCTCAAAAACAGTGCAGAAACAACTAGAAAGAGTGCAGGAAAATGCAGAATTTTTCTAGGTTATAACAGTGCAAAAAACAATAAGGAATATGCAGAAAAATGCCGCAACAATTTGCAGAAAACACAGCAGCAATTTTGCAAAAAGATGCAGCAACAAAACAACATAATTTCTTGCGTGAACAGTAAAATTTTATGGCAAAAACAGTAGGATTTTCTAGTAAACAGCAGTAAAAAAAACAACAAATTGCAGAGAAAAATAGTAGCGAATTTGTAGAAAACGCAGCAAAATTCTGCACCACAATAGGTACAATTTCTGGACACAAACAACAGATAGTTCCAGACAAAAACAGCAGCCAATCAAGATAATTTCTACATGAATCAAGCTGAAAAAATGTTCTAATTGCTATCGAAATTCATCCCCTATTTCAGCAAAAATTCAGACAGCACAGGGGTGGCAGTTAATGGATAAACTCAGCAACTAATGGGTAATTTTGGGACTTAGAGGGAGCTATCACATACCAGAAATTCAGCAAGCAGAATCGGAGCTGGTGGGTTAGGGAAACCGGCGGGAAGTGAAGAACTTAGGGGATCTACCGAAAATTGGGAGAAACCAAAAGAAATTAGAGTAAACCCAAGCCAAATCAAGGGAGAAAAGAGGAATTAGTGGCTGTTTCCTTACCAGAAACCGAAAAATTTCACACCCATAGTCAAGAGCAACGGACGGAGGGGAAGGAACAAAGCAAATCTGAAATTTTCTGTGGGGAGAAGATTTCTAAGTTCTAAATCTTGTTCTTGAACAAGAAAGAAGGGAAAAATCAAGCTTTTACCGTTTCTCAAGAGGGTGGGTGTTGTCGGTGGCTTGGGCTCCTTGTTCGGCTGCAAGGGAGAAGAAGAAGAGCAGAATGCGCGGCTGAGGAAGAAAGAAAGAATTAAATAAAAATCAGCCATCCTTATCCTAATTCTTTTCTCTTTTAAGTCCCTCAAATTTGAAAATTTTATGATTAAACTCAACAATATTATTTTATCACAATTAGGCCACTATCTCACACTTAATTGTTCTAGAAATTTTTGGGGTATTACAAAGTCAAAGAACAAAATTTGATTTCTTCATTATTTCTACCTTTTCTTCTTCTTTTGGAAGAGTTAGGCTTTGGTCCTCATTATTGGAACAAAATTCATTAAATGGTAAGGGTGAGCATTTTTTGGTATAGATTGGGTATAAACTATATTTGGTATTTGACTTGAAAATTTTTTGATACACTTTTTATATTTACACTACTAGAAAAATGGGGTAATTTGGTCAAGCATGTCGATTGAAAAAAGTTGTTATTTGACTGAACAAAGAGTACTTTGGTCAAGATGCTTGATCGAATTGTTGGTCCAAATATCTACTATATGAAATAGTATTTTAAAGAAAATCTCATCTTAACCGAAATATAAATAAATTCTGTTAGTATACTTGACCATAAAAGTGATTGAATAAATCATTAAACAACTCTTATATTCGAACAAATAATTTAACTGAACTTAATAAATATTATTTTAATCATATATTTCAATTAGTACTACTGACCAAAATAATCACGAATAACCAATTCCTCCATATAGTATTTTAGTGCAATTACATGACAGAATTAATGGAGAGGGATATTTTTGGTATTTTAAACAAAATTTTTCGATTAAGAAACTTAACCACAATGAGATGGATAATAAATTTCTCTTGCCACTATTTCTGTCAAAATAGCTAACTAAAATAATATCCCATGTATTTTTTTGGAAATTTTTTGTATATTTTTTCGGTTAAGGAACTTAACCGCAATGAGATGGAAAGTAAATTTCTCTTGCCACTATTTTTGTCAAAATAGCTAACTAAAATAATATCCCATGTATTTTTTGGAAATTTTTTGTACATTTTTTCGGTTAACAAATATGATCAAAATGATAATAAATTCATCATTTCATTTCATATTATTTTGGTCAAAATAAATGACCAAGATAAATTTTGATTTAAAATAATACATGCTATTTCAGTCAAGAATTTTGACCAAAATAAGCATGTAGGTTACAAAAAAATTAAAATTATTTAATGAATTTTAATCTACATAATAAATATTATAATAAAATTTAGCATTAAAAATATTCAATTTTAATACCATCAATTATATACAATTCTTATTAATTTAATTTTTTGACCTTTTATAGTTTTTAATTATTATTACACTTATTTATTAATAATTATGATTAAATTTCCATATATGAAAAAAATGAAAAAAACTCAAAAATACTTGGCATTTACAAAAAATTGTTATCATATTTCAATGAAGAGCATTGACCACAATAGGTTAGTACGATCTTCCAATTAATCTGCGTGTTGCTCTATTTCCTAGTTTTGACATTTCTTGTTTTTTTTTTTTTACTTTCTCTTTTTCTAACTTTTTGGCCTAAAATTTGTAAGTAATATAATAAAAATTTTACCAATATTATAATTAAAGTATAATATGTATATTGAAACATCTAATTGAAAAATTACCTAAAAACAAATAAATATAAAACTTGACTTAATATTATAATTAAAGTATAATGTCCTAAAATACTAATTAAAGTACTATGTCTTCGTCATACCTGTCCAGATTGTCATACATGTCCATGCATATATATTAGTAAAAGATGTTTTTGATACAAAGATCAACTTAAGACAAACCAATTATGGTCCCCCACTTGTCCCAACCTCTCCTCCTCTCTACATCATAAAAAACATCCTCTCCATCTTGTCAACCTTCTCTTGTAATGTCAGTTGATTTGCTTGTAGTTTTGTTATAGCCTGTTGTAACTGCACCATGTGTTAAGATGAATGAACAGAACTATCATGTATGATATGTGGAAGATGCTTACGGTGTGACACACCTTACTTACCAGGATCCATGTAAATGGGCACTCCATAAAGTCGCCCATCCTTGGAAAGTCCACCCAAAACTTGGGACAAAAGTTGGGTATCAACTACCATTAGCCATGCAGTTGTGTCTTCCCCATATTTCTTAATGGCCTTTGTAATTAATCATTCCTACAATAAATTATATAACATACTTATTATTTTATTTAATAAAGTATAAAAACATTATATACTCAACCATATACTTGCAACCATTATACTTAATATAATTATAAATACCATAATAAAATTACTTAAAATTTCACAATTCATTATAAATTTATAAAATATTCGACAAAGTTTAAAAATTGTACTTTCCCCCATAAATAAAGTATAAAAATACATTTAACCATATATATATTTCTAGCTATGGTATTCAATAAAAATAAAATGTAATCTAATTTCACTTAAATGAATAAATAGATGAGAATTCAAGTCATGCCAATTAGCCAATTAATAATGTATCCTTAATTTGAATTGATTTTTTAATATGAGTAAAAATTGAAAAAAAAAAAAAAAAAAACTCGATTGACTGTAACAAAAGATTGTTAAACAATTTAATTAGTGGGGATCCACTTTCCGAACATGAAATACCACTAGCTTGGCACCTCTTTTTTCTTTATAAATATATCTATACAATTTTTATTTCCCCTACTTAATCTTGATTAGGGGCTCAATGTAATTATA